GTCTCCGACGCTTTCTTCTGGGTGTTACAAACATCGTGACAAAATTAATATACCCTGTTCAGGGTATAAAAACTTGTGATTTGACCTCGTTAGGCACTGATTGTCTGTGTGAACGAGGTTATGTAGACCTGACTGTCGTTGGAAAGATTTGGGTGAGTCTTAGCAGTGGCTAGCCTTGTTAACCACAGGAAATCAGTTGAGTTCCTACAATAAGAGCGAAGCTTACTTTAATATACAAACAACTATTTTCTATTAAGTTTCTCAACTTCTTTTTAATATTTTTATCAAGCCAGTATGTGAATCACCCTGTGTTCGGCCGTAGAGATCTACCGCGCCGCGCCAAAGCCTGGCAACGTTGAGCGACTTGAGCAAAGAACAACGTTGTGGCCTCTGTTCGCAAATTAAATATGCATTTACACATACATCTATATATACATATGTGGTATATATACATATATATATTATAACGTAACTTTGTATATCTGTGGGCACAGGTGTTGTAATTTGATAAGCCACATGCAAATAAATTTATCTTTATGTAAATAAAATCAATGGCATAACATTATCAAATAATACAAACATGAATAAGTTATGAAAGAAGATATGCTAAGCAAATATATATGCACAAGTAAGCTTATAGAAGGAGGGTACTAAGCAGTTCTGGCACATATAAACACAAATAAAATGTGTTCCAAGCAAAAACAACAACACGCTAACAACATAATTTTGCAAACCAATTTCAGTAGCCTACGCCAACAAAGAAGAAGAATTTAAGTAACTACTGCTTTTAGCGTTAAATTGGAGTCTCTATTCGGTCTAGCTGGTAGAGGATAGGTCAGTTTGAGACCAAATTAATAACTTACTCACATAAACTCAAACTTTATTGTAGTTTCACAAATAGGTTTTCAGAAAACCTCGGTTTTAATTACTTGTATAAAATAAAAAGATAACCAAAAGGTAGCCAGGAGTTTTAACCCCAAATTAAATTTGGACGTCAAGCTGGTTTAAGAAACGAGCGACCTCAGTTCTCACTTTTAATATCGCAAATTTTAACACTTCAACTACTAATTGTTTTTCCGTTAATTGTAAATTTAATTGAGGGAGGAAACATTACACAAATCATTTTGAGTGATGCTACCAAGCTGATCCCTGTCTGAATATATGTATATCCGTATTCCCTTTACTTAAATTAATCAATCGAAACAGATTTTTACTGCTCAGTATTCACTGATCAAAGAGCTTGCTTCTAATAATATTTTTTGCCAACAATTCGACTGATTTTTTTTACATTTCAAAGGTACAAATCATGACCGAGTGGTTTATGTTAAAGAGTTGCCTAGCAGCGGATCCAGAATTGCTCGTGAAGGCTCAGATGTGGAAGCAGCGATGCGTTAGGGATTGTAAACAAAACATCTTTCTCCTTTTCGCAATACTTTGGGGAGTTTTGACATCTAAGCCATTTAGACTTCACCTCGATCTCGTGATCTACCTTGAATTAACATCTATTAGATGAGCGAAGCACCCTCAGCATCGGGAAGAAACTTTTCGAGCCGTTCCATACCAAACGAGGTTTCAGACAAGGCGACTACCTACCATTCGACTTCTTCAATATACAATCTTCTACAAGAGTGTACAGTTGCTGGCGTATGCCGATGATATTGATAACATTAGCCACAACATCAGCCCAGATAATTTAGCTTTCTCGTGTCAATGTCAACCACGCAATCAAAGGCAAAATAACTCTTGTCAAGAGGTGCTACTTCGGACTGAGTAGGCATTTGGGAAGCAAAGTTCTCTCTTGACTAACGAAGACAAAATTCTACAAATTACAAATCATCCCCATCCTGCTATATGGTGTGGAGGTATGGACAATGACAACATCTGATGAGTCGGTGTTACGAGTTTTCGAAAGAAAAGTTTTTGGGAATAACGCAGTTGATGAGTTGTACGAAATACACGACGCCATGGACATATTTCAGCGAATTAAGAGTAGCCGCTGTAGTCTGGCTAAGTCATGATGAAAACACTCCAGCGCATATCGGCCGAAAGTGTTTGGGGTAGCAGGGCGGCAGCGAGTTTGTATCTACTGATAGTGGACGAGGTTGCCGAGAGTGACGATATTAGCCCCACGGTATGAGACACTGAAAGAGTTTAGTAAAATCACAGAACATATTGAAATTCACGTCAAGCGCTGGCTTTTCAAAAAATGATTGATCCTCATGGATTGCGTGACGGCATGCGGTCTGATAACGATAGGTTTGACTTTTTAGCCTTCCAAACTAACCTATCCTGACATTTATTTTGAAGCGTCTCATAATAATATTATATTTAAGAGGTTAGGTGGCTTTCAGAAGAAAAAAAAAGGTATTTTTACGATCTTTTTTTTTAATATAAGCAATCGTATATTTGAAAAATATAATATGTTATATCAAAGATATTTACTCGAACAATGTCTCCTGAAATTTCGATGCAAAAATGTTGAAAATTCCGCTGTTGAGACCGCATTTCCCTGGGTGTCTCTCAAAAAAGTGCTCTCGCCGTGGACAGCATAACTTATTATTGGTTCATATAAAATTAACAAACTAAGCATATTCTGTTAGTACATATCTAAATCTCGTTTTTGAACGTAGGAAATAAAAAAATATTAAAATTGTCCTTCTTTTCTCGGACTTTGAACAAAAAATCTCATTTTTGGTTAAAGTTTCGGCTTCTTTTGGTGAGAAAAATAAGTTGTAAAGAAGCAAGAAAAAATCCTGCGTTTAATAACTAGATAATATTATCTCAAAAACACAGTTTCGAGAAAAACGCGTTTAAAGACAGGGCACTTAGCGCAGCTAGCCTTGTGTGCACAAGTTCTCAAGGCTGTATCTCCGAAATTATTACTCAGATCAACTTTAAAATTTAGGACTATATGCTAGAGGTATTGTAGAATTTGATAAAGCAAACAAAAAAAGAATCGATTCTTGGATATTTTCAAACCCACCGAACCCCTTAAATAACTCAAGCGACTTTACTTCAGTTTCGACAAGATCTGAGATTCACATTGAAACGCATTCGTCAATACGAATTCTGATTCAACACATTTTCTGAACATCTCAGCTCTGTAATAATATAATACTAAAATTGTGCGCTCTCCATCCAATAAAATAAGTGACTAGGGACTAGGCGCTAAGTTCGTAAAGAAGACTGCTCTCAGTTGACCTCACCAAGTATAGTATATACATTATTGTTGCTTTATTAATGACATTTTTTGGTATTTTGCAAAGTTCAAGAGACTAAGCCATAAGCATCTAGTAGGTATGCCTTGTGCTCAAATCTGCCTAATGTTGCCACCACTTTGTGGCTCAGGCACGCAAAACTAAAGTTCGATAGGCTTATCGCAGGCATTTCGAGTAGAATGCGTGGCAAGACAGCTGTGCTGGCGCTTATCACACTTGCCAAACACTGAGCATAGTTGGCGTAATGTGTACGTGCCGTGTGGCTAATTCCAACAAATCTGTGAAAAATGCGCCAGTGTGTTTGGCTTGATGGATGCCAAAGTGGTGAAGTACTATATACATAACTATATATACTTTATAAATATAGAGCGTGGCAAGTGGTGTAGACAAACACGCACAGCCAGACGATGACAATGGTGGCAATGTTGGGGCGAAGGGAGCAGCTGGCGCTACTGTTATTGGCTATTTTTGGTGAGGCAACAAGAAATAGTTGTTGTATGTCAATATATAATTTTTGATTTTCTTGCTAGCCTTTCAACAATCTGAAGGACTCTTTAAGAAGCTGATCACCATTGAAAACGATGGCATTGATGAGGAGAGCAGCGAGCATGTTAATATAAAATTTCCGACAGTCAAACTTCTTAAGCCATTTAATATTTTTGAAAAGAAAAAGGACAGTTTGGGCTCCTTAATAGAAAATAAATTAGAGAAATGGGAGGAGAAAAAGGAAAAATTCGATGAAAAGTTATTGGAGTTATTTGACTTTTTCAAAGAAAAAGAGCACGCTAAGTTCGAAAAGAAGACTGATTTCAAACCGCCAGCACCGCTGCATATTCCAGTACCAACACCAGCACCAGCATTATATCCCGCACCAGCTCCATATCATGTTCCAGCACCAGTATATGGACCGCAGCCGGTTCCAGCACCAGTCTATGGACCGCAGCCGGCACCAGCGCCGTTTTACAAGACACCTGCACCCGTACTTGTCTACAAACCGCGACCAGCAGCCGCTGTCGCACCAGCTTATGAACCACCATCTGCCTATAGTCATTATCCTCCAAGACCGTCGTCGAAATATGGGCATTCATCTGATTCTTATTCGCCATCAAGGCCAGTGCCTGCAACGCCACATCATTATTATGAGGAACATGATTGCAGCCACGAGCAAACATATTCATACAAGCTGCAGGAGCCAATCAAATACAAGCCAAAACCAAGACCAACATCACATTATGCCGATTGTGACTACGAAGTGCGTTATTTCACATAAGATAAGTTCGATTTACCAATTAAAATAATATAAAATTATTTAACACAAAAAAAAAAAAAAATTATTTCACAAATCCAAATATTTCACTTAATTTCACCTCAAGAGATCTTTCATATATTGTCACGTAGATTTCAACTTCTATTCCACGCTCAATATAGAAAAGTTGTTGGAATAATACGCCATATCTTGGTAAACCCCACGAATCCTGTTAGAGATCTAATATTGAAAGTAACTCGCAAATACAGTAAAGGACATAACTGTTCACAAAATACCAAAATTTTTCTTAAAGCTTAGAAGTTTTATTAGACACCTTACACAAGAAAAATAATGTATACATTTAAAAGAGTAGTAAATTTGCTTTCAAATCCAATAACTTAATTCCAAAATTTAAACATAACGTATTAAAAATACTTAATTTTCAGAAGATATAAGTGTGAACTCTTTTGTCCGTAGATTCAAAAGTTTGGTCAATATTTTGTGTGACCACCGCGCGATTTTTAAAGCTTGAATCCGTTTTGGCATACTATTTATGATGTTGTCTAAAATGTTTGGGCTTATATTTTGCCATGCGTGGAGGGCCCGCTCTCACAATTCATTAACCGTTTTTGGAATATCCTTTTCAGCAAAAATTTTTCTTTTTAAAATCGCCCAAAGGTGCTCAATGGGATTCAAATCTGGGGACTGCGGAGGCCAATCGAGCAGTTTGATCCCGTTATCCACAAACCACGATTTTTTAACTTTTGCGGTATGCTTTGGATCGTTATACTGCATGAAAATATTTCCTTGGCCACGTTCGAGTCCAAATATATCTAGACTTGCAAGATATGAGTCCTCCAGAATATCATTATAGTCTGTAGCACGCATTATACCATCGATCCTCCGAAGGACACCCAGCTCATTTCCGCGAAAACAGCCCAAAGCCATCAGTGATCCACCTCCAAATTTCATTGTTTGGCATATGGTGCGCTCCTGTAAACCAACCTGTTTATCAATCCATGTCCATACACGCTCATCTGATCCTATTCGATTTATTTTAGTTTCGTCAGACCAAGTCACTCTCTTCCAATCATCGATTGTGAAGTGTTCATATTTTTTGGCAAACTCCAAATAAGCCTTACGGTGTTTGTCACTTAAGAGAGGTTTTTTTACCATTGCTCTAGCATTGAGCCCGTTATTTTTTGGCATCTTTTTACTGTTTTGTCGCTGACGTTCACTCCATGGACCTCTCGAATGATTTTATTGGTTTCCGCTGCGGTATTTGTTGCTCCTGTAACAATTAAGCGCCTAGCTATTCGTGCTACAACTGGGGATAACTTCTTCGGACGGCCTCCACTATTTCGTGGTACTGTTAAATCATTCTGCTTTTTTATTTTAGTAATTAATCCCAGAGAAATTTTATATTTTTTTGCGATTTCTCGGTAAGAAACACAATTTTTAATGTCGTCCAGCAAATCTTTCTTCAAAACAGGATTTACGGCTTTTCCCATCATAAAGCAACTAAAAAGTTATTTTTTAGGATTTAAATATTTAAACATTAAATGTAAATTAATTAAATAAATAAGTAAACTTTACCTTTTCCGTATTAAAATTAAACTTGGAACTCAATTGTGCACAAAATCTTACTGTGATCAAAACTGTTCACACACTATTTCTGTTTTCTTCGACTCACAGAAACAGTAAAAGTCCCGTTAGATTAAAAAAGTGCTACCGGCTGGTAATTAACGTAACGCTTGAGAATTTACAATAGAAAAATATTGCCAGACTGGTTTCATATTTATGAAACAGCAAGCGAATTCAAATTTCATATATTCGTGAACACTTTTGTCCCTTACTATATATCATCATGTAATGTCTTGGTCTGTGCTTATTATTAAATCTTCTCGATAAGAGGATGCAGGCACTATTCGCAGTCTTAAAACCCGTTCAAAAACTTTAGTTTAAAGAAGTTGAAGAGTGCTATTAAGCGCCTCCAACTTGCCTGACTTATTTTCGAAAAGGTGATTCTTTACTTTGCTAATCTAAAACTAATTCATATAATCTTGCATTCCAAGTATGTTTTGTTTGTTAATACAACCAGATCAATCTCCCATTTTAATTGTTCATAAGTCTAGTTCATTGCGGTTATATAAACCGAAAAATTGAATATAATTTTGTTGTCTCCTCTTAGACTTTTGTATGTTTATTAATGCCGTTTGTAAAGCCAGACGAAAACTTCCGAAGTTGAATATAAGCTATCAGTTAGTTCATCTGGGTATCTAAAATAACGAGTTGCCAGGTCTGGTTTTAGCAAAACCAGAACTTTCGGGGAGGAAGTATTAAAATGATGCTAATTCATCTTCTTCCTAACTGCCTAGGCAGCTGGTTCTAGTAAGATAATCAATTTGACTGCATGTATCCCAATCAGAGAGTGTCCAGCTAGAACTTTTACAATCAAAAGTGGACTTGCTGAAAGCGGAAAGTTCCCTAGCCAATTTAAGATTTACCTAGGTCTACTAGGACCTTTCAATTACCAAGCTGCTTTCTAAGCCGATTTGAGCCAAAACAGTCCAATAGCGAGCCAAAAGAAGCCAATGGAGCTCTATTCATCATTGTTCCCATTCAGTAAATATCGAGACAAAAGTATCTGCCGGGCAAGCTCAACATTACATTTTCTTGTAAATACGGAGTTGCTAGGCACGCAAACTGGACTAATCATAAAATACTTCAATGCTAGTGATAAGGTTGTGTACTCTTCACCAGTCATGGGCGCACAGTCAGCGAAATCAAGGCTGATTGGACTGTCTTACTATCAGAGTAGAGATTCCTATAGCTTTTATGGCAGCCAGGAAATTTAAAACTAGAACTGATTGAAACCCATGGAGCACTACACCATCAACTCTGCCCGCAAGCTTTAAGTCATTCCTAAAAGAGTTCATCGCCACTTTCCTCAAGCGAATCCTTCCCACCCATGCCTCCCTCGAAGGTACGTGACACCAGACCTGTTAATCAAAGTATTTTTGAATGAAATCAAAGTATGCGAGAATTCTATAATGACCAGGATCGCAGTCATTTAAGAATAGCTTTCGCAGCTTTAAAAGAGTTCATCGCTACTTTCCTCAAGCGAATCCTTCCCTCCCGAAGGTACGTGACACCAGACCTGTTAATCAAAGTATTTTGGAATGAAATCAAAGTATTTTGAGAATTCTAGAATGACCAGGATCGCAGTCATTTAAGAATAGCTTTCGCAGCCATGCAAAATCAATCACCAATTTCCGGGAGCGTAGTCCTTTCCACCGCCTTCCACCAACCGAAAATTCCGTTGAACATTATAGTCTTGACTGTAGTAAAGTAAAGAACTACTTTTGACGACAGTGCCTACCTTTTGCCATTGTTCCCATGGCAATAATACAGAGAAACCTATGCGTTCGGTGATCTATCCTCAATGTTAAGTTTTCGCGAGAGCTTCCGGTTTGGAATGGGCCTTAGCTACTTAACTCTGCTAGCAGACCGAAAACACGATGGACGTGAATATGTATAAAATATCGAGGGTTTGAATAGAGTTAGTTACCACGTGAACCAGTTTAAAGGTACCTCAGCACCAAGAGACTGCCTAGTTAAGAGTGTTTTTTTTACTAGTCTTAAAGATCTGTAGGATAAAAAGGTAATACTTTTTCATCCACGGAGTAGCAATAAAAGCGATCTCTATACCAAAATGATATATTACCAATAAAACTCCACTCTGTACCTTGTCCACACGCCGGAAGTGCGGGTTTGGATAATTTGAGAGATTTGCCGGTTTACTTATTTTGGCTGCCATATTGCTATTACAAAAATGTTTGTACGCAAATGAATGTACGCTGGTATATGTACTCCTATGAGAGTGACTGACAGCTGCAACCACCGCCGCAAGGCAGTAGGTGTGCTACCACATGAGTTGTGCCACAACATAAATAAGGCGGCATTTAATTGAGTCTGACACACACTAACGCATATACGCCCACCTTAACACATACTTGAACAACAACAAATAAAACAAAAATAATGTAGCAAAAACCGGAAGCGTCACCATGTGAGTTCACGTTATTTGCCACACCTTGCGTTGCAGGCAAAAGTGCGAAAGTGAAATGTGGCATGCGGCATGCGGCAACCGGCATACGGTGCGCTTGTTGCCAGTTTAATGCGCGCTGCGGGATTATTTGTGGATCAAGCACACAGACTGCCGAAAAGTAGTTGTGAGAGGTACACACAGCGGAGCGGAGTAGTTGGAGTGGTGATAGTGATGTATGCAAGTTTGCTGCATTAATTGCGCAGCTGAGCTGTGATATCTTCATCACCAACTACTGCGCCGCCACACACATCCGGCGCGTGTGTTTGTTCTCCGCTTCGTTTCCAGTTTTGATAAGAATATTAATGCATGCAGTCTACAGCCTGCGCCGCAGCTGCCACGCCAGTCGAGCTCGCTTTGTTAAGTATTTGTCGAGTAAATTGTGTGGCTTGTAAAAAGGAAAACTTTTCAGGTTTCAACCGAAAATAATTTTGTAATGAGCGGAAATTTGTAAATGCCCAAAAGCAGACTTTTCAAGTATTTATGACAAAACTTACGCTTAATCGCCGCCAGTGTGGCTCAACTTTGAAGTCGCTTTTGTAGTGACTGAACGTTGGCACTTTTATGGCACAACATTTTAGTTAATTTTACAGCATAATATGAGCAAAAATTTATATCACAGCGAAACTTATGGAAACCTTAGTTGAATGGACGAATTGTTAGATTCACCTCAACCTTAAACTTTTTCACAATTTAGCATGATTCCCTCTATATTTTCAGCGCACAGAAAGCATTCTTCAAAAGTATACCTCGAGACCTTATAACACAGACCCATGAACAGGTGCCCCTTCCATTACAAGATGGAAGTTATCATACAGATTATGCTATCCCATTAGGTTATAGGTAATACAGATTCCTGTATTTAGATCCATACCAGGAAACAGGAAAC